ATATCACTATTAAGTGATGCATACAAGTAACATGTAACAACATCCATAAGATGCATCTCTAAATTTTCAACTACTGCTAGGCTGATTAAATATCTAAAAGTGGTTGTATCCATTACAGGAGAATATGTTTTGTCACAATCAATTATAGGCCATTAAGAAAAACCTTGAGCCATAAGCTTATCCTTGTATCTTACACTTTTTTCTTTCTCATTTCTTTTTTTTATGATGATCTAACTACAACCTAATTGTTTCATAACTCTAGTGTGACAATAATGGCCCTAAAAACCTTTTTCATATTAAGAGAATTTAATTCGACTTGCATAACCTCTTTCCATTCAGTCAAGTCAGGTTTCTTTTGACATTCAATTATAGAATGTGGTTTATAATCATCATTCATAATATCACATGCAACTGAATAAGAAAATATGATACTTGTATTACCAATTTCATTTTGGTCATATATTACATTGGTTTCTCCATAATTTATTGTAATCTCTTGATCATTTATTTCCTCTATTGGAGATATTGCAACGTCGTTCCACGGGCAGGATCTTGGGATGGTAGAGAGATTTCTGCCTGGAACCTGTAGTCACAATCAAATACTACGCCAGTCATACTCTGGGAGGTGATCCTGGGAGGATGCTCCAATGATCTAGTTAGCTATGAGAGAGAGTAATTTTAGTTCGGGAGGAGTGATAAGAGTTTAGATCCCTCCTTAGGTATTACCTTTATCCTTTTATAGTTAAGGCCTCTGCCTCGATAGGGGACCATAGTAACGGTATTATAGATACCAAGCTCTAATTGGTCCATCTGTCTCTATCTAATTTTCCCTTTACCCTGATTAGCGTACATGGAATAAATGGTAGTGGATCGTGCATAACTTATGTGGACTTTTCTGTAACACCCCGTTCTTAAAATGTTTGATTGGGAGTCCCTGAGATTTAAGAGGGAGGGTAATTCTGGTCCTTTTTCGGGAAATGGGTTTCATCCGAGAAGGTTCGGGCTGGTGTATGTTGTTAGAAGCATTGGGCTTCTCTTCACCCTCGTATGAATGTAAAGTTATTTGGGAGCGGGTTTAGAGTAGAGGAGTTACGGTGTTTTGGAAGATGATCATTGTTATAGCTCTTTGTGAAATAAGTGGAAAAAGGTCCCATGCATGCATGACATGCATGTATTTTGAAGTTTGGCTGGGTACGCCAAGCGTAAGCTGGACGTACGCCCATCGTAATAGAGGGAAAAGTGTGGGGTGGCCGGGTGAGTACGCCCAGCGTACTAGAGGTACGCCTAGCGTACTCTCAGAAACCCCAAACCCTAATTTAGGGTCAGCCACTATATAAGGAACATGTTGGTTCATACCCTAGCCTCCATAAGCTCATCCTCAACCTCAGAAACCCTAGAAACTCGTATTACCTCCATTGTTGGGTGTGTTTGGCCTTTGGAAGCTCATTTTGGAAAAAGAAAGGCTAGAAGGAGAAAGGAGAAGAGGAACGATTGGAGCTTGTAGATCTGAAGAGATATCATCCTTTGGAGCTTGTTTGAGGTATAAAGCTTCTTGCTTTCCATTTATTTTGCCTAGATCTAAGTGTTGTGAAGTTTTTAGCATCTTTCTTGTCCCAAAGTCCTCATCTTGATTCATGCTTTGTGTTGGCCGAGATTATCTGTCCTTTTAGACCGTTGGAGAGGTCTTGAGTGAGAAAAATGAGGTCCCAAGGGTTGTAGTTGTTCCATGTGTGAGAAACATAGGTATTAATGGATTAAGACCTTGGGTTAAGAGTTTTATGGGCGTCCCAAGTGATAAAGTTTGAGACTTTATGAATTCAAATCATATTTGGCCTAGGGATCTGAAGTTTGTGCTTAATAGCTTAAGCCATTAAGAAGTTATAATGATTTTATGAGTAGAGCAGTTACACCCTGCGTAACACATGATTACGCCCATCGTAGCGGGCCAGTGCCTCGATTCCTTTTTGTGAACATTACAGTACGCCCAGCGTACCAGAGAGAGTACGCCTAGCGTACTCCCCCTGATTGGATCTTTATATTGGGCCTTTGAGTTTGGGCCGTTTGTGGGTAGTTGGTTACTGGGTCAAGTCTGGGAATTTATGGATAGAGTATTTTGGGCCCAATTATTGTTATGGTCATTGGATCTAGGCCCAATTGGTGAGGTGGGCCCAATTTGGTAAATTGGGCCAATATTGGACTTTGTATAAGATTTGGACTTTAGACTTGGCCCGATAAGTGGATGTATGATTGGCGTAATGTTTATTTTGTTATGTGGTTAGTTCGGGATTTGCGGTGAGTTGGTGGTTCGAGAGTCTGCTTCTTCAGTTCAGAGTATTGGCATTCGCGAGGTGAGTTATCCTCACTATATCGACAGGGTCTAAGGCACCAAGGTCGGCCCTTATCAGATTGAGATTCAGATATTTGTTGTTATGTTATTTCTTTGATATGTCTGCATCCTGGTAGCTAGGATGGTATATGTTAGAGACCTGGTTAAGGTCGGTTTCCTGATATGTAGGGTGATGCTATGCTAGTGACCGGTTAGGTCGGTATTCTGGTTAGGATGATGATATGTTATGTGATCTGCTTGATCGGCTTGCTGACTATGAACTGTTATATGATTATATGTTATGTGCACATGGTTGTTTGGACTGGAGTTGGGTTGAGGCGGATCCTGCTTTGTGCTGTAGGCCAAGATTCCCAGGGCGGACCGGTTGTTTCGAAGGCCCAGCGAACGGTCCGGATAGGCTGTAGGCCCCACGAGGGCGGACCAGCCGTGCCGAGGCTCGGAGAGTGGACCAGGCTAACTGAAGGCCCGATGCGGGCGGACCAGTCATACTGTAGACTCAGAGAGTGGACCAGGTGGGTTGAAGGCCCGATGCGGACGGACCAACCACACTGCAGACTCGAATGACATGACTAGACTCGTAGGATGGACCCGGTGGACTGAAGGCCGATACGGCGGACCAGTCACACAGTAGACCCGATATGCATGGCTGTACCATGTTCTGTTATGTTATGTATATTATGTTATGGGCCGGAAGGCATTATGATTTGGACCGGAAGGTCGTAGCCTGGAAGGGCGTATATGTGGTTGGTATTTTGGGGGTATCTCACTAAGCTTTCGGGCTTACAGTTGTGGTTTAATGTTTTTCAGGTTCTTCAGGAGACCGTGGCAAGGCGAAGGCGTGATCGTACCGCTCCTCGTGTTTATGTTTTATGCTATGGACCTGGGAATACTCTGATAATAAATGTATTGAAAACCTTTTTGTAATAACTTAATGAATTGGGATGTTTTTGAAAAGTTTAAAATTGGCTTAAATTTTTAGAGTGTTACAGTTTCCCTCTGTATTGCAACTGATGATTATGCGTGGGGTACAAGAGACTTTTCTACCCAGACAATTTTGGTTGTCTGCCAAGGATAGCTGAACCTACTGTCTATCTCGCCAAGCCCTTATGTTGTCTCTTTCTCCTGCTAACCTATACGAATATCTGGGTATATCAGTTCAGCTATTATTTCTTTTCTCCGGTTGAGTTATCGGCCGCCTCGACAGACTGTCATGGGGTATGTCATGAAGCCACCTAGTCTAGTAATGATGGCGTAGCGTGGAAATTCATTATGTTCTAGGCTCATATTACACGTGCCGGCTAGCTATCTGTTGGGCAGTTGTAACCTCTACAAAGAGTCATGCTTTTTATGGGCATTTGATTTTCTTCTGATCTTCTCCATAAATACCAGTCTTTATACATTTTCGTATGTTTCTTGACTACCTCCATTTCTCCATCTTATTTGCTCTGTTATTTTTAAAAGGAATGCATCTTCCTAGCAACATGGTTTCTTTTTTCGGGGAGGTTTCAACGTCGAAATATGTTGATGCTCTTTGAGAGAAGTAAGGTTTTCAACCGGAAGACATATTACAAATTCCTTTGGATGGAGCCTCATTTCTAGAACCTCCACCAGGAAAGGTTGTCATCTTTATTAAGACTTTCAACACCGGTCATCGGCTTCCTACCACCAATTTCTTAGGTGAGATGGTTCGAAAGAGTGGAGTCAACATCTATGATCTTACCCCTAATGTCGTTAACAAAGTGGTGGCCTTCGAGATGCTATGCTGATCTCAAAGTTTTCTTCCCAACCTTTTGGTTTTCAAGAACTTCTTCCGGTTCTCAACTATCGGTGACAAATTTAATTTCTATGCTCGGAAGAATTCTCATGTTCTTTTCCCAGATGGAAGAAGCAACCTAAAGAACTAGCAAAATCATTGGTTTTGGGTGAACGGTTCTCGTGTCTACGAACCCTATTTTCGTACTGAATCAACTACTGATAACACTCCCAAGCTTCTCACCCACGATCAAGAAATTGTTCGTCTTTTGAATAGTTTTACTATCGTTCTAGAGGAATTCCATGAATATATCCTCGTCAGAGCAGGGTTAACTATTAAATGGAAACGCTGCCAGGAGATGCCCGAGTTTTATGTTGTTAACGGGGGTAATACTCTTTGTTTCTTATTTTACTCTTGACTTTCTTATCTTGTTCTTAAGTCTCTCCCCTTGTTCTCCTACCATTTTTTTGAAATGATGTTTACTCTGTAGGGGAAAAGCAAGTGTTATCTATTGCTGATGTGCTTGGATATACATTCGAAGGGGATTTAAAGTTCCGACTAGTTGCCTTGCACAACACCCTTCCTATTCCCAACTGGAAACTAGCTTGATTCTCCTCTACTCCTAATGCTTTTGTTCATTCATCTTTGGGTATTATCGGGAATACGTCCTTGTCTGGCGATTCGTTTAGTGTTCCCGTTCTCAAGCTTTTTCTACCTGCCCAATATGAAAGCTCAAAATGCACGGAGGACAGCAAAGACAGAATCCTAACTAGTGTCGCCTCTCGTATGTCAAGGAAAAGAGGGTTTTTGAGCATTTAATTCCTTCCTAACGTTATGAAAGGGAAATCTATTGTAAATCATTATCGTCGTCGTAAGCTTATGACCAATTTTTTTGCTACAATGTTGTCTTCGAATGAGGAGGTGATAAGAATCCTAGATGAAGACACTCACCGGTATGAGGGGATAGAAGGGTTGCCTAAGCAACCCGATGCTGATAAAGATCTTTATAAGACTTTTCCAAAACAACCAGCGATAGCTCCTCAAATCAAATCTCCAACTGCTTCAGAGATGTTTGATTATGACGACCTTATTTCCAGCTTTGAAGGCAAGAATCTTTCTACCAACAACATCTTTGTTACCAATTGGAATCTTACCGATGACTCTCGTCTTTCTAATAAAGATGTTGTTGCAGAGTTTTCTCATCACGCTTTTCCTAAGGGCAATGTTTCTGAAATGGAGGCCTTCTCTGATGACCAGACAGTTGAATTCATGGAATTTTCTTCTGCTTAGAGTGCCTCCTTCCTTACTGCGAGGGCTCAACATATTCAACGTCTTAAAATGCATTGTGGTCAAACTGAATGCAAATGAAAGGAACATTTAGCAACACACCACCTCTTTGGAAGCTAAGGTTGAATCTTTTCACCAACAATTGGAATTACTGACTGGTGAGAAGATGATGCTTGAGGAGCATTATGCTAATGTGGAGATGAAACTTGATGTTACTCTTTAGAAAAATGAAGCCTTGAGTAATCGTTGTCAGAGCTTAGAGAGGGAAATTTTGGATAAGAAGAAGTTGTTGCTTGACCGCGAGGTGGAGCTCTCCTATATTGGAGGCGACTTGGACTAGCTTATCAAGGATGGGATTGTGAGAATTATTGAAAACATTATTGATCTTGCTAATTTTATTCAGGGTGTTGGATGCATAAAGAACATGTGTTTGCTGCAAACAAAGAATCTAGAAAGGAGTTGTTGCGTAAAGAAATTGATGCTAGGGCATTTGATTCTAGCGTTGGCAATTCTACCTATAGTCATACATGAGAGATGGTAGATGCCACTGAATCATTTGTCACATGTGCCTATGCCTCCTTGATGAAGCTAGGTTCTTTGGACGTTAGTGGTCTTCGTCAGCTCCTTGTAGATGATGATAATGGAGAGGTAGGTCCTAGTAGCCATGCCAAGATCACTGGATTAGATGACAATGTTGGTAAATGAAATTCATTCCCTATTTTTGGGGCTTCGTCTGTGTTGTGCTACCCTGGATGGGTGTGAATGATGATTTTAGTTCTTTTTATGACCATGTGTGGCCTTAGTATGCCAAATGTTAGCTTGTAACTGGACAATTACTTTTATCTTTTCTTCTTTTGGTACGTATGTTGAAACATGCTCTTGTTTAATGTTCTAATTTCTTTAGCTCTGAATTCATAGTAGTTTCTTTTCCCTTTCTCATTTATTTTATTTTGGGAAAAAACAATATGATTGCATCATATTGTTTAAGTGATTTTCTTGGTCCTTTAAGCCAAGTCTTGGTGTCCTAGAATGAAGTACTCAGCCCATATAACTTTCTTTCTTTCTTTCTCTCTCTCTCTCTCTCTCTCTCTCTCTTTCTCTTTCTTTCTTTCTTTCTTTCTCTCTCTCTCTCTCTCTCTCTCTCTCTCTCTCTCTTTCTCTCTCTTTCTCTCTTCCCCTCTCTCTCTCTCTCTCTCTCTCTTTCTCTCTCTTTCTCTCTTCCCCCCCTCTCTCTCTCTCTCTCTCTTTCTTCTCTCTCTCTCTCTCTCTCTCTCTCTCTCTCTCTCTCTCTCTCTCTCTCTCTCTCTCTCTCTCTCTCTCTCTCTCTCTCTCTCTCTCTCTCTCTCTCTCTCTCTCTCTTAAAGGTTGTAATCCTTTGAATCAAGGCAAGGCCAAACTTCTTGGGTGTTTGAACCATGGAACTCTTTTTAGGTAAAGGTATTACTCCTTTGAACCAGAGCGAGACAGGGCTACTCTACCGGATGCTATACGGAGTTGGGTGTCTGAATTGTGCAACTCTTTCTAGGTAAAGGTTATAATCCTTTGGACCAAAGCAAGACATAGCTAGACTATCTTCTGCTATATGGAGTTGGGTGTTTGAACCATGAAACTCTATCTAGGTAAAGGTTATAATCCTTTGATCCAAAGCGAGACATGACTAGAGTGCCTGCTGCTACACGGAGTTAGGTGTTTGAATCATGAAACTCTTTATAGGTAAAGGTTATCATCCTTTGAGTCAAATCGAGGCAGGGCTAGACTGCTTGCTGCTACACGGAGTTAGGTGTTTGAACCATAAAACTCTTTCTAGGTAAAGGTTATAATCCTTTGAACCAATGCAAGACAGGGATAGACTGCCTACTACTATATGAAGTAGGGTGTTTAAACCATGCAACTCTTTTTAGGTAAAGGTTATAATCCTTTGAACCAAATTAAAAATGGGATGAAAATTTATAAAGTAAAACAAAAGGAATAACTTCCTAGGTTGATCAACCCTAGGCCTATTTTGATTCAATATAACACTTAGCTTATTGCAAAGAAAATACAATACTATTGACTCTTAGTCTCTTCTAATTTTATCTCATTTCCTTTTCTCTATCTCTATCTCTACCTCTCACTCTCTCTCTCTCACTCTCACTCTCTCTTTCTTTCCTTCTCTCTCTCTCTCTCTCTCCCTTCTCTCTCTCTCTCTCTCTCTCTCTCTCTCTCTCTCTCCCTCTCCCTCTCTCCTTCCTTTTTTTACACAATGAACTTTCTTAAGTACTAAATATACCAATTGCATGGGATTGCTCGTCCCTCTATTTTTTCTAACTCACTGGAACCATTTTGGTGTGCAGTGGTTATCGTATATGGACCTTCCCACGCTGGACCGAAATTCCCTCTTAGCTTGCTTTGGATGACTTCATTGATCTTAACACCAGGTCTCCAGATTTGATGTTTTTTCCTTACATGCATTTTTTGTAGTAACTTTATACATGGGATTTGTACATTGCTTGGTTCAACTGAGTTCCCTCCCTCTTTTAATCAAGCAAATCGAAGTTGTGTCATAGGTCTTTTTCAGATGCCTCTTGATTCAATATTTTCATACAGATCGATCCCATGAGTAATTCTGGTAATAACACTACTTTTGTACTGAAAACAAGGCTGAAAGGTGTCTCTTTCATGCTGGTTCGTGGTATTGTTCGTTAGGACCATAAAATACTGGGGAGCTCCTCAACCTAGTTTTCCTTAGCCTTTCCCAATCGTTTGTTTATTCCATTTACCAATGTTCTATTGGATACTTCTTTCTGCCCATTTGCTTGTGGGCGGGCCACTAAAGTAAAGCGTTGTTCAATGTGCATGTCCTGACACCATCCTTGAAATGGGTTGCTAGTGAATTGCAATCCATTATCGCTGATGAAAGTCTTTGGGGTCCCAAAACGTGTCAAGATATTTTTCCACATAAATTTGATCATGGATCTTCTTATAATATTTTCTACAGGTTCTGGCTCAATCCACTTTGTAAAATATATTAACATCGACGGCTTG